AGAAATGTTGTGTCAGTTGAATTGGGTGCTAGCTGTAATGGCAGATTTTGTAATTTTCATTTATGTTAAATGCATTTGAGTATCATAATACATGATTGACCTATTTATAATTAACATAAATATTATTAATGACATTGTTAATATTGTAACTTTTTTTATTGAGATTATACAAAATCACTCTTACAAAAATTAATAAATAAAATAAAATAAAATAAAATTGAGAGCTGCTTCTTGGCTTTTTAAATAACAAAAGGGTTATTATACAAAATGGTCCTTGAGATTTGCTTGATCAATAGAAATGATTCCTGAGATTGAAAATCAATAGAATGGTCCCTGAGATTGTCTACCATCCATGATTTTGGTCCTTCCGTTAAAAACTCTTTGGGCAATTGTCAAAGCTTCGTAACTCAATTGATTCTTAACCAAATTCAACCCATAATATATCAAAATGAAGACAAGAAAGTGTACAATAAGATTATATCTAATTTGTAAGCCTAAAGATTGCCGAATATGGACGGAAAATAGCCTGAAAGGGGACTAGTCGCAAGAAAATTGGAAAACTCGCCGAAAACTGGATAAACTTTAAACGTTCATAACTTTTTCAATACTCAGTGAAATCAAGTGATTCTAAACCAAAAATCATACTTCTCAACAAGATGAAGAGAGTGGTATCTTTCTTTAGTGCTAACTCGCCGTGGTTGGCCGGAAAACTATTCAAAAGTGGCTAACTCAAAGATGGTTAGCCACTTTCAAGCCGTTGTCCGACCAAACCATGGCGAGTTAGCCTTCAAAAAAGGTACCATTCTCTTCGTCTCGTCAAGAAGTAATATTTTCATTTTTGAATCACTCGATTTGGTTGAGTATTGAAGAAGTTATGAACGTTTAAAGTTTACCCAGTTTCTAGCGAGCTTTTCAGTTTTCCTAGAGACCAGTCACCTTTCAGGCTATTTTCCGGCCATCTCCGGCAACCATTGGGCTTCCAAATAGGTATAATCTTATTCTACACTTTCCTATCTTCATTTTGATATATTATGGGTCAAATTTGGTTAAGAAACAATTGAGTTACACAAGCTTTGAAAATTGCCCAAAATCGTTTTTTAACGGAAAGACCAAAGTCATGGATGGTGGACAATCTCAGGGACCATTTCTATTGATCATACATATCTCAGGAACCATTTTGTATAATAACCTATAACAAAATGAGTGGGCTCCATTTTGAATTAAACAATAGCAAAAGAAGCCAATAAAACTCCTTAATATGTGGCTTTTTGGTGCGGGTCCCACCTGAAAATGGGGCTGACTTTTGGTCACCTCTTATTAGGAAATGAGTCTTGGCGCACTAGGCGAATGCCTAGACAGTTTAGGCGGGCACTTCAGTAGCTTTAGACGTTATTTTTTAATTTTCAAACGCCTAGGCATTAATCGGGACGATGATCAGCCACCTAGATTTTTAGAACAGTGCTATTGCCACGATTTTTCTCTTGAAGACGCGGTTGGATTGAGGTTTCCAATTCAACAGTTAGAGGTAGTATAACTATAAACATTGTCACTTTCTTTCCGCAGATACACCCAAAAGAATCAACTAACTACTCATGCCGACAATTAAACCACTCCACATGCGTACTCGGTACTTTGTTTAGATAAATACACGCAAAACAAAGATGTAACGTTTAAATATTTTTGACAAAAAAAAAAAAAAAAAAAAAAACGTTTAAAACACTCAAAATTTCGAACCGTCCAAAGCACCAAAAGTTCCCATCGGAACAGTCATTGGTGTTTGGTTGGAGTGCCGAGGGCTCTACCCCTATTTTGACTTTTGACCAATTATAGCAAGGGGCATTTTGATACAGATGTTTAGCGTTTGAAATTTTGAGATTAAACATCCATGTCTTTTAGAATTTTGATTAAACATCCTCTTAGAATTTAGGTTCCACATAATACAAAACTACACGATTTGCCATTCACTTTACCAATTAGCTATAAAATCCCTAGTGGTTATGATTCAGTATTCAATTTCAACGGAAATTCTTTTACAATTTAAAAAAAGGACTTGATATTTGCTTCTGCTTCTTGCGTACCTTTTTCTTCCAACTCCACACCGTATTAATTGATAGCACACACCAATGTCAAATTGCCATCGAAGATGGTGGGGTACGATATATTGTACACCTTGAGATCTGAATATTGACACTAAAGCGTAAGTCTTTTGTTTTACCAAACTTTGTATTGATATTTTCATAATTTTTCAAGTACCATGGTACGTTTGGAAAGTTCGCTTCGATTGACTCAATTTCCTTTTAGATATTATAGTGGGTACGTTTCACTTGAACACGAGTACGTTTTAATTTGACATTGGTACGTTTTAATTTGATATTGGTACATTTCAATTTGACATCGGTATGTTTCTATTTGAAAAATAAATTGTGGTGATCCATGTCAAGAGATACAAGATGCAATATGTGTGCATACTCAATAATGGTGGATATAAAGATCGCAGAACATTCATAAGCCAATAAAATAGATCGTTGTTTATGAACACCTAATCTCTCTATATCCCCTAACAAATTGCAACTTATTTTTACTAGTTATTCTATGTCTATCTCTTTCTCTCTCCCCTACAAAAGTCTTCACGCCTATATCTCTCTTTTGATGAACTAGGTGAGAGAAATGAAAAAGCAGAAAACATGGTCTCTGATTTTTAGGGAGATAATTAAGAATTAATAAGTGATATTAAAGGATAAACTAGAAATGAGGAGTACATATCCTTTTACTTTGAGAAAAATACATTAAAGCACCCTAATTAAATTTTTAAAAGTTAAATCAAAACTTAAAACCTACAAATGTATAGTTTAAAAAATACGAAAAAGAAGTGGTAGAATCTAATTTTCTCTTATAGAGCAAATGCTACCAATTTATCATCACAACCATGAGTCTATGACCCAAAATTTGTTTTATCTTTTCATCATTCATATTGTTAAAATAACCACCAAACTATACTAATATGGTTCTAAATTTAGATGATTTTTGTAAAGACAGGTATTTGAAAATAAAAAGCCTAAAAATTAACCGGTTATGTCACATCCCAACCCAGGGTCCACCACATCCCGAGCCCGTTCCACCACCATAGCACGATATTGTCCGCTTTGGGTCCCGACCACACCCTCACGACTTTTTTCTAGGAACTCACTAGAGAACTTCCCAGTGGGTCACCTATCATGGGATTGCTCTCGCGTACTACTCACTTAACTTCGGAGTTCCGATGGAACCCAAAGCCAGTGAGCTCCCAAAAGGCCTCGTGCTAGGTAGGGATGAGAATATACATATAAGGATTACTCCCCTGGGCGATGCGGGATCTTACAATCAACCCCTCTTTGAAGTGCTAAATGACGCCCCCGTCGCCCAGGTAAGCTTCAGGTGAGTACATGTTGATAATATGTGATGAGATATGGATAAGTCGTACAGGTCACTATAGGTGACTCTGACTTATATGCTAGCCATGATTGATGAGATATGTGATGAGATATGGATAAGTCGTATAGGTCACTATAGGTGACTCCGACTTATATGCTAGTCATGATTGATGAAATATGGATAAGTCATACAAGTCGCTAGAGGTGACTCTGACTTATGTGCTAGCATTGATTGATGAGATATGAGTGCAGTCGTATAGGTCTCATTAGATGACTCCGACTGATATATCATTTTGTATTGATTAAGTTCATTTGGCCTACTTATTAATGCATGGTGGAGTTGATGGACATGGCAAACCGTGGTTTTGGCCATTTTTTTAGTATGGTTTGGATATATGTATATATGTTGTATTGTCTTGTGGAAAACGATACAGGTTTTACATTGAGGGGCATTACTTTTAGAGAGGTAATAACTTTGGGAAGCTTGGTTTTATTACTCACTCACACTCTCTGTTTGGTGCCCTCTAGGTTTTAGCTACTGAGTTTGTATCGACAAGGATCTGTTGCGAATCTTAGTATTGATGGATACTTCTTAGGGTATGATTCTTACCTACACTTCTGTACCTTACTTATGCTCTAACGTCATGTGTGAAATGGGTTCGCTCCCGCTCACAACGCACTATGGTATTTAAAAATTTTAGGTTGAAATTATTCACATTTTTCTATACTCTATCACATTTTATGGCTTCGTCACCTTTCAGGTGTTGGCAAACATAGCTCGATTCAGGGTCCAAGTGGACTTTCTAGGTCGGGGTGTGTTAGTTTGGATCATAAAAGCACTGTAAAAACGCTAAAGCAATTTAAAGAACTTGTAATTTATCCATCTCCCAAATCTCCTGTGTTTAATTTCTCTTGTTTAAAACAAACAATAAAGTTATCAAACAAACACTAATTATTCAACAAACTGATCTTAAACTAAATCACATAACATAAAGGGAAATTTTATTTGAACCCATGTAACCTCTTTCTACATCCAACTTAAATTTAAATTGTTAAGTATCTATTTTACCCTATTTCATAATTACTATTAAGTAAAAAATGAAATTAATAATAAAACTCAAATTTATCAATAAACCCATTAAACCCTACTATCACTTCTTGTGTATCATACGTTCATTCTGGCTAAAACCCTAATAGGTCTTGTAGAGAAAAACAAGTTTTTTTTATTGATGGATGGTGATTTTGAAGTTTTGAATTCTTCCAAATAAGATATGACTCGATTTATGAATATTTTGTTCGTTTGATTTTTTTTTTTTTTTTTTTTAAGTTTAGTAAATGAGTATTTGGATTTCAATTTTTTTCATCAATTGTTTGATTTGTTGCTTATGCACATCAATAGAAAGAGAAAAGGCAAATGTCTGGATTTAGTAGCAAAAAAAAAAAAAAAAAAAAAAAAAAAAAAAAAGTAGCCATTGTTTTGGGGGGGGGGGGACGCCTCTTTAAAAAAAATTCAATTACATGTTATTTTATAAAAAGAATGGATGTAAAAACATTTTGAATTGGATTTGAAATGATAGTTTAGATAATAAATTTGGGTTTAAAGAGAGATTAATTCTTTAATCAAAATATGGGTGAAGAGAGTAAGTTGAGTGTAGAAAGAGGTTACATGGGTTCAAATAAAATTTCCCTAACATAAACTAATGCTATTATGTGGTATCTTATTACAAAACTAATCTCTACAGGAAAAACAATGACCATAACATTAAACAAGGGTAACTATTTCTTATAATCCAATATTCCCCATCTTAACTGACCATTCAAATTATATCAACATGAGTGGCCACAAGATGTATGGTAGAAAAGCACTATGCTGATGACTGGACCAGTCGATTTGATCAACGATTCATTCACTCATACGAAGGAGAAAGGCATTCATCAACCATATCAACGAGGCCTGGGTTCTCCAACGCCGCAGCCACCCGTTCCTTATCATTCAGTTGCTTATTAACTGCGTACGTAAGAAAAGTAAAATCGTGAATGTTAGACAAGAATTATTAAAACATTTATTAGGATGTTGAGGTCCCATAGTCCCTTAACATGTCATTCCATCACCAAGTTGAAAGGTAAGACTGACTTCGTCTCTGTTTATTAGCAACAATTGAGAAGTTAAGAGAGGTTGGAGAAATGACCAATGTTTTTTTAAACACATGTCAGTAACTTTTTGTTTCTTTTTCTAGTAACAAGATGTCAGTAATCTTTGCAATGCAAGCTTGACGGAATGTGTCGCTCTACGCTAAATTGCGAATTGGCATCATGGGAACTTCCAAAGCCCAATCATATGTCAGAAAACCTCCGAGAGAGAGAGAGAGAGAGAGAGAGAGAGAGATAATACCTGCAGCTTCGGTTGCATGAGATCCGGGTGCCACCCTAATATCCACCTAAACATGAAAAGATTAAAAAAAAAATTAGCAGGTAGACTTTCCATCTTACAATGACTGAGACTTTAACCAGTACAGCAGAGAACGCCACCAAATAAATAAAGAATTCAACAATCTATTAGATGCACAATAGAGAAGAAATAAAAAGCATCAATAAACGGTCATGAATCATAGGCAGAAAGTACTGAGCTATTCACATTCAGCTTAAAATGGGGCGTCCAGAATTATCTCTAAATGGCATCGCAAGAGTGTTAAAATGGTAGAATAGTTCGGAGTACACGAAAGTTGGAGTCATAGTTAACTACTTGTTTTTTTATCATAATTTGATCATAAATTCATTTTATACCCTCATATCAAGTGGTTATTGCAAAATATTCCTTGAGTACGCGTTCTTGTGCCTGCATGTTTTATTCTTGGACAAGCACATACACCAGCGTAAGCTAATGGTACATTCATCACAAAAACCATACCAACTTGTATGTGGAGAGTGGGCATATCAGAAGATGCCCTCGAGGACTAATTCTCTTTAACAAAAGCCCATACAAAATGATGCATTTTATCATCCTATCAGAACAGTAAATGAATACTGGACACAAAAACACCGCCAAAAGGTAGACTCTAATTGTTATTGATTTTCAACAAAATTTGAGAGCCTATTCACACAACTTAAGAAATGGTGCACGACTCTTTTGCACTTATATTCAAACAGTTAATTTCATATCAAGTCATGCAAATTCATGCAACAATTCTTTCCAACATTGCGTTTTAGTGTTTCCAAGTGATAGGTTGGTCAATTCAGTTGAAAGAACAGCTGTAGTTCAGAATAAGTACAAAGGGAAACATATGTTTGAGATGAAACTTGGAGATCCACAAGAGATTAAAAAGAATCATATCAAGCAAAGGAAAGTGCAGAAAAAAGCCGACCTCTTAAGCACTAAATACCCTAAAATGATCTGGAAATTTATTCCGTCCATACTATTCACATAGCTCTCCAAACAAAACCTCTCCACATCCCCTCAAATCTCATAAATTGAACTGATGACCTACATTTTACTTTCATCTCAACAGCTTATAGAAAACTACAGTACAGTCAGAAATGCAAATGAAAATATTTGATGGAGTACCAATATTCACTCCCAATTTCACCTTTATATGATGGTAACAGAGAATATTGTGAATCAAAGTCAATCACAAGAGATAAAGGTCATACCTTGTAACGAGAAGGTAGGCTCCTTAAGAGTTTAACACGTAAGCAAAGACCAATAACCGTTGCCATACTACAATGTTCCACCGTAGGAGTAAATGTGACCCTGAAGAAAACAATCATCATTTCATCAACAGGGTTGAAAACAAAGGCAAAATTAGGATAAGTCTTTTTAAAATGAGCATAAAAGGGTTTGTCTACCTGACGTAGCCACGAGCATCATCAACTTCAATTGCATCTTCTGTTATCACTTTGAGCTCCTCCAACGAATAAGGGTGTTCCGGGTCCTTTATATCTCTAATATGGTTTAAGAATTGTAAAGGAATACTAAATTCTTCCCAGCATACAAGGAAAAACATAAAACTACCTTCGATCAGATTAAGGTACAGCAATTAAGTTAATCAATGGATTAATATTCACTCGTAAAACGTATCAAAATACACATAGATACTTCATGTGCTCATACAGTTAAATACATAAACACAAGAATATACTGAAAGGATATCGAAAATCTCTTGTTGGTCAATGGGTTCAACAACATATTCATCTGCAGCAGCACTTGGAACACTACGAACCCGACGCTCTTTCTTTTCGTAGATGACCGGATTCGCATTTATTAACTCGGACACCATCTTTCCTTAAACAAAATTAGAAACAAAAAACACACCAACATGTGAAAAACATGGATATGAAACAGGTAGAATTTGGATATGTTTTCGGTTACAGAGACAGTTGAAACGTTAAATAATCAAAAATTAACTACATAAATCGGTGTTTGAGAAATCATACGAGGTTTAGCAGAGATTTAGGTTGCCGAGAATTCAATTAGAAAATTAATCTGAGGAAAATTAGAAATTAATGTGAGAAGGAAAACCTCTTTCTCTTTAAGCTTTCTTCGGCCAGTCAAATTGAGGAATTTGATGGATTGGAGAGGAGAGAGAAGGACAGAAGGACAGGGCGTGGGTGGCCTGTGGCTGAGAGTGGAGGTCCTGACCTCTATGTTGGCCTGGCGGTGGTGTCGGAGGAGGGAGGGACTCCACGTATAGAGGGAGGGTGGGAGAGGGAGAGGCTACATAAAACCTGATTGACGGCTCAGGTGTTGGAGGGTGAATTGTATTCCCTCCTAGCAACCACTAAAACCGCGCCACCTGTATAAAACCCTACAAGAAAGAACATTTTTTTAATGGTTTTTTTTTTTTTTTTTTCCAAACAACAGTATAATCTATTCTAAGGCCGTGAGTCAAAAAATTTGAACGTGATACTAATTTATTGGACTCATGAGTTTAATATATTAGACTCATAAGTTTGATATATCAAACTCATAATTGTTGTACAAATATATTGAACTCATACTAGTATAGCAGTAGCGTTATGAAAGTCAAACTCATGATGCTTGATTTCTTTATATATGTTTCACACTCATTTAAACCACTATGGAAGACCTAAATTCATCTAAACTACGATGTGGGGAATAAAACACAGGACTCGGATGCGAAGGCGAATACTTTAACCAACTAAACTACAAGTCACTTGCTTCTTTTTCTATGGCTTTGAAAGCCTAATTTCTTGTTTGGTATTCAACTTGGATCTATTGTTTTAACTTCAAAAACAATTTTTTAGTTCCAAACCAAAAATTGACGATTGGCAAGACTATTTATTTATTTTATTTTTTTAACAATATTATCTACACTAAAAGAATTAGGAGTGAATTTTTTTATGGATCGGATCAGACAGTTTATCCAGTTTAGGGGCAGTCTTTCTTGATCACCTCATTCTTCAACCATGGGTTAAGATGTGGTTAAAGTCAAATTTCAAATTTTTGAATTCAAAATAATCTCAAATTTTTCGGAATATAATTCACATTCATATATCGGAGTGGGCGCATTTCATCTTGGAGTTCCCAAAGGAAGAAAGCATAAGCTGATGAGTTAGCTTTAACTTCTACGTCAATGCTAGAATAAATTTCATGTTTAAATTTTAAAACTTACGGCAAGCTACCGCTTCTCATATTGATCCCCCTTTGCATTTGTCTAATAAACTTATGAGTTATAATTAAGACCAAGGTTTTAAAAAACATTAGGTGTTAGTCAGGAGGCAGGCTGGAGCCTAACGTCTAGGCGGCCAGGCGGGACCTAGGCGGGAGCCTAGGCGAATTAGATGGATTTAAGTAAATCTCAGATTAGATGGATTTAAGTAAATCTATTATATTTCATGTAAATACGAGTATGTTTATACTTAAAATAGATATAATTTTATCATAAACTACAAAATAGAATGACATATGTATCATGAAGTACTGAAACATAATGAAAACATTGGGAACTAGCATATAATGTGTGTTCATTTAAGTATCCAACAAGTCTCTTACAATTTATTGAACAAAATAATATGCAAAATGAAAGTTATCTATTTTCTATCTAAGTGAGTCGCAATCTAGATAGATGCCTAGGCGGGTCTGGGCGACCTAGGTGAGTGCCTAGGTTGCCTAAGCAGGCGCCTCGACAGGTCTAGGCACCTTTTCTTAATTTTTCAAATGCCTAGGCACTAGTCGGGGCGATGGCCAACCGCTTAGCGCCTAGGCTAGGTGAGGCCTAGGTAGCGCTAGGCGGAGATTTTTAGAACAGTAATTAAGACAATTCAGTTCCATATAATTAATTTTGGACTTCAGTTCATATTTATTCCAGTTAATTCTACTACTTGTTTGTTTGATTTGATAGAATGTTAGTATTAATTTCTGCAAAGAATGAATGCTTTTATGATAGGAGTGAGTGGCAAAGCCAGGAATTGTAGGTGGAGAGGCGAACTTTTTTTTTTTTTTGAACAAACAATATTGTCTACACTAAGTGCGTGGGGGTAGCAATAATGTAGTTCAAATTTACCTTTGGTGAGAATTGAACCTAAGTCCTCTCACTTACAAGTGAAGAGGAATACCACTAGACCGCAATACGATTTGGAGAGGGAAGAGTGTAACATTAAAAAAGATTAGCCAATATTTCATCCAACTTCGTGACCTCACTATGTAGCTTCGCCATTGATAGGAGTAGATAATTCATGAATCATATTTGTTCAATCATGCAATGCAATAGAGAATATAACATATGTTAACTCTTAATTTAAATTTAAAAGGAAAATTACAAAAAACTACCTCAATTATGGGTCGAACCACACTATCATACCTCATCTTTAGAATTTGTTGCAATGTTATACCTCCATTAGTTTGTCCGTGAATTTCTCAGTTAAATCGCTACGTGGCTTAATGCCGACCCCAATTCCTCCCCCAAATGGAGACGTGGCACCATACCCAATGTTTTCCCACCAAATGGCATCCAGTTGAGATTTCCAATACACATGGCTTTCTCATTGGATGACACATGGATATTCCATTAAAATAAAAATAATAATTAAATTAGAATTAAAAAAATTAAAAAAGTAAAAGTATGTTGTAAAGTGTGTCATTCGAATTAATTTTCCCCCCGGTGCACCTAAAGGTCCCCAACCCTATCGACCAAAATTGATTCCCAAATCCAAAAAAGCAAGAAGCCTAACCCTAGTTATCATACCAGTGGCTCCAAATCTCGAACAATCAAATTAGAAATTCAACGAAAACCCCAAATCATCTTGTCGGTTCGCTTCCCTCATTTCGTTGGTGTTGGAAGGGGGTTTCATCTGGGTTCCATTGACTTCGAAGAAAAATCGAAGGATTCAACATGGGGTGGTACGTGCGCGAGGACCCCGACGAAATGATGCTCTATTGTAAGTTTTTTTTGTGCTTTTGATGATTCTAAATGCATACTGAACTTATTTATTGGAATGGGTTGAATGTGGGTTTTGTTTATTCTTGTTTGAAAATGTGCATTTATGTTTTGTGAAGTTGAAATGATTCCTGAGGTGTTGGATAAAAGGTTTGTAGCTTTGTTTATTCTTGTTTGAAAATGACGATTTATGCTTCGTTAATTGGAAATGGTTCATGAGGTGTCGGATAATGGGTTTGTAGCTTTGTTTATTCTTGTTTGAAAATGTTTTTTTATTAATTCAAAATGGTTACTGAGTTGTTGGATAATGGGTTTGTTGCTATGTTTATTGTTGTCGACATAAGGTGGTTTGTTGCTTTGTTTATTCTTGTCAAGATAAGGTGGTTTGTTGCTTTATTGTTTTGTTTATTCTTGTCGAGAAATGGTTATTGTGCTTTGGCTATTTGCATATAGTGTGTCGGCTTTGGCTTTTCTTAGTCATGTGCTTTGTTTTGTGAAGAATCTTGTGCTTTGGTTTTTATTGGCTTCTGATTAGGTTAAAATGCAATTGCTTTTGTTTGTTGTTGGCTTTTAATTAGGGTTTGTTTTTGTGAATTTCAGTATATCCAGAACTATTCTCTATTGAATTGCATCATGGTAGGGAGATAAGTTATGACCTCTATGCTAGGGGAAAAGTGACATATATAGATAACTATGATAAAGACCTCGTGTCACTACTGATGACAGATGATTTGATGGAGGCAGTTGGATATAGTGAGCGATTCATGATCTACTATTACCAGATTCCCAACATGGACCTTTGTAGTAGTTTAAAGCCGATTCAAAGTGATTATGATGTTTAGGCAATGTGCAATTTTGTTCCAAAAGATTGAGTGATTGAGATGTACATCGAAGAATTGATGACAGAAGAAGCTATAACCCAAGGGCAACAGTTTTTGTAGTCTATGGAAGTTATTGGTCCAAGTAAATTGGTAATTAAGGAGGTAAGTAGTTTAGAGGGGGATGTTGGGCCAGCACCACTTAAACCAAGAAGATATAGGGGCTTGCTAGTTATTGAAGGGCCAGAAGTGGATGGTTGTTGCACATCTCAACTAGTGCAAACATGTGTGAGGTAAGAGAGAAAAATGGTGAAGGGCCAGAGGAGAACAAGGGGAAATCTGTGGCTTAGATAGTCGAGGTAGGAGAGGGGGGTGCTGAAGTCTTCTTTGATGTACCTATTAGTTTTGAGGGGAATGTTGAAGAAGAGAATGAATAAGCTGCTGAAAAAGATGATAGTGAGTTTGAAGAGAGTGAATATGGGAGTGATGCTAATAACCAGTGTTTTCCAAGTTGATGTATTGTGGAAGAAAATGAAAGAGAATCTCATCACAGGAAAAAAAGGAACTCTGAGCAAACATATGAAAGGGATTCTGAGCAAAGAAATGCAAGGCAATCTGAGCAAAGCTGGAAAAGAAAAGAAGAGCATAGGGAAGAAGAAGTTGATACTTCAACCATGGAACAAAATGTGGTTGATGATCCAGACTATAACTCTGATGCCCTGGAGAGTGTACACTCTGAAGATGATGAAAGAGGCAAAAACATGAGCATTTTCTAAAGTTTAATGAGAAAACAGACATGAAGAATCTCATTTTTACACTAGGGCTTGTTTTTAGGGATCATATGCAATTCAAGTGAGCTATCATCATGTACTCCCTAATGAATGGATATGGGGAAATCCATTTTCCTAGGAATGAGAAGTTGAAAGTCACAGCAAAGTGTGCAAAAGGTTGCCTTTGGATGTGTTGTGCTGGAGAAATGCATGGTTCAAACAACATACAGATCAATACCATACTTGATCACCACATCTGTAGGAGAACTTGGGCAAAAAAGAACTTGAAGTCCTCTTTGCCGACAGATTTGTACATGGACAGGATAAAACTTAATCCCACATGGCCTATGGATTCCTTTTTAGCAACTGTCGAATGAAAATGGAATCACAATTTTACAATGATGAAAGCTTACAAGGCTTTAGATAAGGCTTTAAAGATCATTGAGGGAAAACATGCAGAGCAATACACAAAGTTGTGGGATTTTGCTGAGGAAGTAAGGAAGACTAACCTTGGAAGCACAGGGAAGGTGAAGTTGGATCGACAGAGGTTCCAAAGGATATATGTGTGCTTGGGGGCATGCAAATAGGGGTTTAAGTTAGGGTGCAGACTAATGATAGAATTAGATGGGTGCCATTTAAAAGGTGTACATGGAGGTTAGCTACTTTGTGTTGTTGGCATTGACCCAAATGATAAAACATGGGTTATAGCGTATGCAGTGGTAGAAATGGAGAATAAGTCCAGTTGGATTTGGTTCTTAAAGTTACTGGTTGTTGATGTTGGTATTGTCAATCAACAAGGTTGGACATTTATCACTGATAAGCAAAATGGGTTAATTCCGGCCTTTCAAAAAGTCATCCCTAATTCCCACCATAGATTTTGTGTGAGACATTTGTATACCAACTTAAAAAATCTGTTCAAGGGAAAAACTTTGAAGGATGTTATATGGTCAATAGCCAGAACAACACCAGTTCCCTACTTCAAAAAAGTAATGGATGATATGAAGCAGCTAAATGAAATTACCTACAATTGGTTGGTAAAGAAGCCTGCACATCAATAGAGCAAGTCTCATTTTCAAACTTATCACAAGTGTGACATGTTGCTGAACAATCTCTGTGAAAGTTTCAATTCGATCATACTTATGCCAAGACAAAAACCTATTGTCATCATGCTACTCCTTATTCACACACTATTGATGGAAAGAATTTAGATGAGAATGGATATAATGGTAAACAAAGTTGGAGATATCTGTCCTAAAATTCAGAAGAAGTTGGAGGAAGCCAAACTTCAAAGTGGCAGGGTCATTGCACAGTGGTTAGGGGGCACTAAATTTCAAGTTGATGTTGGAGGGGGGAGCAATATGTAGTTGATTTGGTTGAGAAGGCATGTACTTGCAGAAAGTTTGGCTTGACGGGAATACCATGCAACCATGCAATAGTTGCCATAAATTTTAAGAGAGAAAACGAAGGACTATGTCGATGCTTATTATTCAAGGGCACGGTATTTGGAGGTGTATTCTCATTTAGTAATACCGATGAATGAGATGTCTTTATGGGAGGAAACTGAAAACCCACTAATATTGCCTCCGACATATACAAGGCAACCTGAAAGGTCGAGGAAGAGGAGAAACAAGGAAGTTACTGAGAAGGACAATGAGGGTGAGCAACCTCCCACAAGCCCGTACCATATGCAAAAAAAAAGGTCATAATGCAAGAACCCATCATAGACATCTTCCTCCAAAAGACAAACAAGTAACATTTTCTACTTTATGTGGTTTTTTAAATCATTTACTATCATATCAGACTCTTAATCATTTAAATTGCATTGTAGGCATCCACTTCTGCTCAAGGACAATCACCATCAATAAATCCAACCGAAGCTGCATCTAGAAAGAGGACAAGGAAAACAAAGGTAAAAACCTAACCATTTCCTTAGTTGTAAAACTTTTGGATTTAGTTAAAAACCTTGTTTTGTCTCTTACAGTTTTAATGAACTTTCGATTTAGGCATCACAACCAGTAGCTGAATCATCTAGAAGCACCAAGTAGAGAAAGACCAAGCAAACCAGTAACTGAATCATCCAAAGGCACCAAGCACAGAAATACCAAGCAATCCAGCCACCAATTTTTTGCACAGATGGTTGTTTTTTTGTAAAGGAATTATAATGTTAGAACAAGTTTTATGCATCTAGTGGGTCTTTTGTGAATTGAATTGATGATGTAGCAGGTTTTTATGAATTTAGTAGGTTTTGTAATGCTGGTTGGAGATTCTAGATGAATTCAGTTAGTTTTTTGAACAAGTTTATGAATTTCTAGGTAATTAAGTAGGTTTCATGCATAATTTGACCCATTTCATATGTTTCTTCAGAAATGATGAGTAGTTTGTGTTTGAATACAATAGTTTTGTTGTGGTTATATCATTATTTTTGGGTGAGGCTTTCAAATTTGGGGTCAAGGATGATAATCCGTGCTAAACATGTTAGATCACCTTTTTCTCACTTTTTGGCGGGAAATTTGAATTTCAAATTTTGAATTTTGAATTTCAAATTCCCAAAAGAAAAAAAAAACTAATATATTTTCTGACGTGGATGCCATTTGTCGGGAAAACATTGGGTGTGGTGCCACGTGGAATCCATCTGGCCGAGGAACTGAGCCCTGCATCAAGCCACGTAGACATTTAACTGAGAAATTCACGGGCAAACGAACATAGGTATAATATTGCAACAAATTCTAAAGATGAGGTATGACATTACCATTTTTAAAAGATGAGGTATGATAGATTCGATCCATAATTGAGGTAGTTTTTTGTAATTTGCCCAAATTTAAATTACAATGAAATGTAAGTAAACAAATTGCCATTTTATTCATTTCATGCATTTAGTTTATTCGATTGTATGTCAAGTTGGATTCTAGACATAAAACGCGATTACATGTTTACAGTTCTTCGCATTTGAATTCCTTAATGGAAGTGATTACATGCTTGACATACAACCCAAGTACCAGAATAAATACAAATGCCATGACCAAGCCTTGAATCACCTGCTTATAGTTATAACCTTGTGCTCTATAACACCTATCAACACCGCCAGCATTCCTCTCATCCCTGAATATTGCTCTTTTGTATACCTCCTTTGTTGAATCCTCCTCGGCCTTTTTCGCACGAATCTCCTCAAGTTTTTCAGTACTTTTGTTCACGTGTGATCCACCATTGTGTTTCTTGTTCTGTTCTTGATTAGCATGAGTCCTCTTTTGAGGATGTGGCAGATCACCAGTGCTTATGGGCTTTTGAGGCTTAGGTGCTTCTGTGGTGGGTGTGTGCTTTTGAGGCTTAGGTGCTTCTGTGGTGGTGGGTGGCTTTTGTGGTTTGTCATTCGATTTAACTGCTGCGAGATCAATCAGCTTTGGAAGCTTGACATTGAGAATGTCATTCTCAAATTTGGCAGAGATTGCATTGGTGTCGCAATTGGAGGGAATTGGGAATTCCATGCAGAAACGCTGCCATTTGTTGTCATGACCAAGTGGCCGTTCACCAAGCACCCTTAAGTTTTGATTAGCTAACGTCACTTGAATCCTCAGATTCTCCCTTCTAAATCCTGCACAATAAATCAATCAAAGCAACCTCAAAAACAACACTTTTCCATACATCACATAGGTTAATCTCAAATGTTGTAAACATTTCCAACATGGTCCATAACGTGTCGTCCCAGTTCCCACATCAAGATTGATTGACTACAGCAAGCACATGAGTCTTTGAAGAAAAACGAATTGATTGAATAAACACATAGAGATTATAATGCAACATTAAATATCCAACGTCCTTGATCACCTCCTAAGTTAACGTATAGCCACATTAATATGGTGAAAGGGGGGATTACTAAGGAACAAACCCTGCAGATAGACGAGGAGAGTGTCACAAGCTTCCTCCCTTGCCCATTCTTCCGATGGTTTAATGTCTTCGTAAACACGATTAATAGTTGCAGAATTCGGCTTTCCCTCCATCGATCGATCTAAATCAAACTAGTACTAGTCTCTCTTGTTAATTAATAATTTGTATCAGCTCGTAGATAGATTTGTACATGAATCTTGTGATGTGCAAAATGCAAGCAATGGTTGGTTGGATTATACACATGGTGGTATTGGCATGTATAAATCAAGAGGTTGGAAACTGAGAAATTTATTTTCTTTTGGTATAAGTTATTCCTTTTTCCTTTTGGCTACCTTAGCTTTCTTTGTTTAACAAGTTCAAGTATGCTTTAATTGGTTGCATAACATTCTATATGTGACTAACTTGATGCATGGCCAAAAGTCAGGATTCCTTTCTTCCATCTTTCATTTAATTAGATTTCCTCATCTGGTTTTTTTTAATTTTTAACAAACGATCTTAACTATACTAAGAGAGCGGGTGAGTAGGCCAACTCTCACAACCCACCCCCCTTAGGGGCCCGACTTCCTCGTCGACACACTTCCGACCAGGGATTGGCTCTGATACCAAATTATCACATCCCGGCCCGAGCCCCCACCACATCCTGGGCTCGATTCCACTGTAGCACGATATTATCCGCTTTAGGCCCCGACCAAGCCTTCACAGTTTTGTTTTTGGGAACTCACACGAGAACTTCCTAGTAGGTCACCCATCTTGGGATTGCTCTCGCTCGAACTCACTTAACTTCGGAGTTCCTACGGAACCCGAAGCCAATAAGCTCCCAAAAGGCCTCATGCTAAGTAGAAATGAGAATATACATATAAGGCTTACAGGATCCACTCCCCTGGGCGATGTGGGATGTTACATAAGTCGTATTGGTAAGTTTTGATAATCATTTTTTTTTTATCGCATAACAATTTTTGTAATTTATTGATTGGTACATTTAATTCAAACTTGTTTTATTTCTTTTTATAATAATTTAAATAAATTGTAATTTAGGTTTATTTATTTTCATGTCATTGTCACATCACCTACTAGTTTAATAAGAAGTGTGAAAATATTTGTCAAAAAGTTTAGGGAAGTGTTATTGGCACTCCAAAAATCTCATCCTACACTCCTCACAAGTGTATTTTTTTTTCTCTAAATATAGAAAGTTTGGAGTGTAGAATGAGAATTTTGGAGTGCCAATAACAATTCTCAAAGTTTATCCCTTGTATATATAGCGTTAGAATCAAGGGAAAAATATTTGGACAAATATTTTACTCCTTGCTAGCTCTTGAATATCTAAATGGCTCTAATTAAAGTCACTTAGTACCACAACCTAGTGGTATTTCTCTTCACTTGTAAGTGAGAAGTTTTATGTTTGATTCTCATCAAAGACAAATTTAAATCACATTATTGCTAACCCATTGTGAGGTTTAGCCACTCCCTCATTCCTTTAATATAGCTAATATCATTTGTTCAAGAAAAAATTTCTAACTAAAAGTTGAATATTGTGCTCATACTACTTAATGATGTGGCAATGACATGAAAACTAAAATAAACTTAACATAAAATATTATAATAAATGAATTATGCAAACTAAAAATAATTCGGTCTCTGCAAGTGGCTCTTTACTACAGTGGTGAACAAGTGTTGAGCTCTTGCATGACAACATGGGGTTTAAACCCCATCAGTGACTAATCTTACATTTAATCTAACAAAATTTATCGTTTGACCCCAAAAAAAAAAAAAAAAAAAAAAAAAGCAAAACCCTAGTTTCTCCATCTTCCTCTTTTTTTGTCGACAAAGTCTACAACTTCTATGCCATACAGACGAAAACTCTTCTTGCCTTGAATCTAAAGAATTCCTCTAGAGTTTTTTTTTTTTTTTAGGTAAACTGGATTTATAACGAGGGCAAAGCCAAAAAAGGTACAAGGAAGTCCACAGCAAGGATCAACTAACAAACATAACACAAAGAAACTACTTCAGAGTCATAGAGGGAGCAAAAACCCGACACAAACCACAACATTGTGTCATCCTAAATCACTCGAACCAAATCAAGACTTAAGGTGGACACGGTAAACCATCCTTATTCAAGATATGAACTATTGAAGATAGAGGTCTCTTGACCTAAGTATAATCGTTCATCTCCGAATTCTTGGAAGAAGCTAATCGATTAGCAAGGCACCCAGGACCAACGACACATTTGGAAAAAGTCCTTCACACACAGAATTTTCCTTAAGACTGGAACCGTGTCCTATCTGCCATTGACTATGGAATTACTTAAGCTTAAAATTATTCCTTTGAATCTGATTCCATAACGATTTTATCTAACTCCAAGTTCTTGGCGAGCTTACACCCCTCCAAGATCGCCTTTGCCTCTGCCACTTGAACGCTTGACGCCGAGATACATGATTTCCTTGCAGCAACAAACTTACCATTTGAATCTCTAATTACCATTGCAATATTTCTTTTTTCCTTGTAGCATTCCAGTTAGCATCCACATTAACTTTAAACAATGACCGATCAGGTGGAGACCAAGCAGAGATGGGTTGAGAATTACCATGTAGATTTCCATGGTTGTCTGAGCTTGTCTGCCTACCACTTGTAGCCCTTTGAGTTCTCCTAGTAGCCTCCATAAAAGCAGTATAGGCAGATCTAGTCTTGCGAATAACCTGTAAATGAGACACACTATTTTGATTGAAAATAGCATTGCATACCTCTTTCCAAATATTCCAACAAGTGAACGCCACTTGTGACAAAAGTCAAGTTTTATCTTGCCTACTGCCCGTATTATTCACAATTAGAGAATGTAACCAATTACTAAAAGTATCAATTTCATTTTTATTCATCTTGTAGTTAAGTTGGCCTCCGAACCAAACAGGTTCAACCCATAGGCATAGAAAAAACATATGCTCCATAGACTCATCTTGCTCATTACAAATGGGGCATATTGCTGAGGTAGCAACATGTCTCTAAAGAGATCCAACCTTGTGGCAAGAGCTTTATGAAGGACTCACCACATAAAAGTTCGAATTTTAGGTGTGGTTTCCAACTTCCAAATACTTTCGCAGACTTGGCTATTGATTGATGCCATTGAGGAGGAATTCCAGTTTCGATTAGAAGACTCCTTACCATGTAACCAATGATAACCCGATTTCACCATATAAGCACCCCTTTTCTCCAAAGGCCAAATAAATCTATCATTACAAGAAGGGTCCCCAATTTGTATATCTTTTATTTCATCAAGCTCCCGCTAAGAGATGCAAGAACTAATGGGTTAAAGATCCCATTCCTGAGAGGAAGGCCGGATTATAGAGGCAACATTTTGGTTCATGTTTATATTAGAATCCACACAAGGGTTGGGATGCCCATTTGGTAATGAAGGAATCCACCGATCCACCCATAACCTTATAGTTTCACCATTCGTCACCTACCATTGAGCACCACCCAATAAAATCTCTCTCCCTTCCAGTAAGCTTGCCCAAGCCCACGAAGCCCTGCTTTCTTTTTTAGCTTCCAGAAATGATGAATTTGGAAAGTATCTTGCCTTCATAACTCTAACCCATGAGGATTCTGGTTCCATCACCATTCTCCAACATTATTTAGCCAACAAAGCCACATTAAACTCTTGCAAATTCCTGAAACCCAAACCTCCCTCTTGTTTTGGCAAGCCTAAGACATCCCAACTCACCCAATGGATCTTTTTATCATCAGCATTTTGTCCCCACACCCATCCACAAGAGAGTCAAATTCCTTGCAAATACTTGTAGGAAATTTAAAATTATTCATTGGGTAAACTGGTATAGCTTGGGCAACAACTTTAATAAGTACCTCATTTCCCGCATGTGACAACAACTTCTGTTTCCAACCCTGGATTTTCCTTGATATACCCCCAAAGCTTGGTGTTTAGACCTACCCCAAATTGTCGGCAGACCAAGGTAAGTACCAGGGTTATCAACAACTGGCATCCCCAAAATAGCACTCAACTCTTCCCTTACTTGATTTGCATTCTCGACCCACTGCCCATTACCATCCTCAATCTTCATAATCTTATTTTGTCTTCTTCTCTGCACAGTGGACTGGTGAAAGAAAGAAGTGTTAGCATCGCCGCATTGTAGCCATTTAATTCTTGACCGCTGCTGCCAATAACTTTCTTCTTGCTCCCTTAATCTATCAAGCTGTAAAGAGAGCCTGAAAACGATTCTTTTTTTTTTTTTCATCCCAAGAAAGTCAAATTTGTCCTGCAAATTTAACAAGAGTAAATTTGATATAGGGCCAATTTATGTTTAGTCCACTTTGTTGGATAAGAATTAGTCACTGGTTATCCACATCAGCTTATTTTATTAAATTGGTATAAATATCGTTTTATTTAAAGGATTATCTTTTACGTAATTTTAAGATTAAGTGTAAGAACTAAATAGTGTTTCTCCTTATTCCTACTCCTAATCTGTATCTCAATTCTTTCTTATAACTCATTACTCATTAAACCTTAATTGTGTTAACTAATCTATGTTGTAGGTATTATATATATCAATAAATATATGGATTTATAAATGTTATGGAAGATGAAAAATTTTTGGACTGTTTTCATAGATTAAGGTTGATTAAATTTTATTTATTTTTGTATATACCTCTATCACAGGTTAAATGTATTTTATGTATCATATATGATGACATGTTAATTTCATGTTTCATTGAAAGTGAAAAAGGAAATTAACATGTATTTTATCAATCTATCATATATGTAGCATACATGGTGGCATGTTAATTTCCTTTTTCATTGAAAGTGAAAAATATATGTATCAATCTATTTTTCATTGAAAGTGATTAGATTTTTATATTTAAATATTTAAAATAAAAATCTGAGTAAAAATGTATAAATAAAGAAATTTAAATAAAATTGTAAAAATTAGAAAACTAGACTAAATCCAATAACAGCTCAAATTTCTTAACTTGAATCAAAGTACTCTTTAACAATTTCACTTGATGAATGAACGTAGCTAAATTTTTAATTTCCAACCATCAATATTTTTATTTGTCTTTGTAGGTTTTGAAAACCTATATATAGTCATCATTCATTCTTACTCATGCCTTCTGCTCACCCAACATTGATGCTTATGAATGAGCACTACAAAATGCCCCTTAATTAAAAATGTTTGAGGCATCCTTACAGAAGGAGACTATAGATATATATTGGGTTAGGATCAGGGAATACACATTTTGTAGGGTCCCTTCTTTAAACATTTTCAACGATCCAACTGTCTATCTTTTGAGTCTTCACTCAAAGAACATGTCTACCAAAATCAATCAAATCCGAAATTATGTGATTGTTGGATTAAATGATTGTTATTTTAGTGTTTCTTTGTAAAATCGTATTCGTCTATTTTCTACATTACAAATGAATGTCTTAATGGTTTTAAATTTGTCTAATTTTTTTAAAAAATAATCCATAAACGATGAATTGAAATACAAGTTACAAAATGTGTATCAAATGTGATGCCAAAAAATGATTGTCCCCCCATCGTAGCTCATATACTATTTAGAATTATTTTGTTGCTTGCTACTATTGAGGGAGATGAGCAGTGAGCATCTTCCTTGGACAGAGACAGGATTTTGGATTTGCGGCTACCCACATTGTGGGTATTTGGTTATTGGGTTCACATTAATTTGATGAACTTCATATTCTAGCCAACGTTTCTGGCTGGAAAGACAATTGGCCCATCACTACTTGAGATAACTAATTAAACTCATAAGTTAAAGAATTTGGAAATCATAATGGATAATTTAAGAATGTTCAAGAGTCACTTAGTAATACGATCTATTAGAATTCATCTCTACTTGTAAGTTAAAGACCTTAATGTTAAATATTGTGGATGACGAGTTAGATACTAATTTGTTCCCACACTCTTTGTAGATATATAAGCGTTTAAGAAAAAAGTTTAGGAACATTGAACCAAAGCAACTTATATCACATGTTCAAACAAGTACATAAATTAAACTTGTGGCAAGAAGATTATTTCATTAATCTTCTGTCGAAAGATCACGTCAGGTTTATTTTAATAAAATTACTAGTTTACATGATGAAATTATCCATAGTTTTTTTTTTTTTAATTGAACTAGTTAGTGGCTTCACTACTGCACTTCACTTTTCCGGAGGCCCAAAATACTCTTAGAGACATTTCAGTCTTCCCCTTATCATAATCGTGTGATTCACAAGCGTTAGAAATCGAACCTAGAACTCTCTACCTTCATGTTTTATGATGTTACAACATAGTTAAGGTTTAATGCTTAAATTACAAAAAAAAGTCAAGTTAAATAATCATCAGAGCTAACACACTGCTATAAAAGTGGCTATAACTGGCGGTCCAAAAACCGACAAGAAAACATAATTTCTATTGGATTTTTGGCAAAAATCCGACATCAAATCATGCAATGTCGGATAGGAGAACCGACACCATTGCTAGCGTCATGAAAAGGCTTTTGATGTCAGTTAGTCCCTTTAATCCACCACCAAGAAGAAAAGCAATATAAAATAAAAAATGATAGTAGCGTAGGTTAAAAGCAACATCGAATATCACGTCGGATACATGCGACATTAATTACTGACAAGGTGGCAGTCCTAACCGACATCACGTAACTATTCCAGAAATAAAATAAGCAACCTCATGTCGTCCATAACAGATGATAGGAGCATATTTATGCGACTTTGTTAGTTTAATTTCTTGCATTTAGTGAGTTAGTCTCTATTTATTATAGTGATTTAAGTTATTTTCGTGTGTTTGTAGGTCCAATTGACTAAAGTGGCAAGAAAATGCAATTTGGAGCAATTTGGAGCAGTTTTGGGCTTGGAATGGATAGCACATGCATGGAGCAAGATGGATGGACGAAATTGAAGTTCAAGAAAGGCTAAGAATCTGCTAAAGAGATGGAAGAAATTAATTCAAGAATTGGAAGAAAATGAATCAGCTATAAAGAAGGAAACATGAGTCAAACTACCTTACTTTGACTTAGTCAATCCTAATCTTTTCCTACTTAATTTCCAGCTACAAAAGGATCCCTAATTATATTGGGACACCTAAATATATGTTTCTAGAAGTCCTAATCCCATTCCTAAAAGGAGCCACACCTTTTCCTTCTAGAAAACCAAATCCTTGCTGTGCAAACCTCTTTCCCTTTCTTTCCTAGATCTGCCGCATATCACTTACCCTTTTCTTCTTGGGATTCTGATTTGTTACCCTTTTCTTGGAGCATTTGGAGTCTTAAACCTTTCCCAATTTAATTCCCAGCCGTGCCCCTTCCTTCCCATATAAATAAAGAGCATTGCCGCACCTTAAGACACACCAGAAATCATCCATTTTTCACCACAATCCAACCTATCCATCCATCACCATAATTCATACCCAAACACTCTTGTGCCACAATTTTGCAAGGAGAAAGGCGAGAGAATAGCTTGGAGCCGTGTTTGCCATTCAAGTTGGATTGTTGGAACATTTCTAGGTGTATTCAATCTTTTGTTTTCAATGTTTAATTTAAGTTTTCTTTGTTTAATTGTGAACATGAAGAGCTAAACTTGTTTTAGCTAGAGGAGACTTTGAAACCATGATTATATTTGCAATATGAATTGATCACTTCCAATCGTGAATGCAATTTACTTAATTGCTTGATTGATAACTTATTCTTGTATGCTGATTAAGGAGGTCTACTTAGTTTGCATGCATGAATTTGATGCTAGAATAAAAGGGAGTTTCACCTAATCGTTATGAACTTATATTCACAAGTAGTGGAGGTTGCTGGTCACGATCATGTTAAGTAAATTCCTGGCAGGAGTATCATACTGTTCATAGTTACGAATGCCTTGTCAATGCTTATGATTTTCACAAAGCTTAATGATCTTTGATTGTATCTCTATTATGTTGTTCATGTAGGGAACTATTGAAGAATAATTTGGTTGCTGATGTGTATCCCATCCCATTCAATGACTTAAGGAAAATCTGAGGGTTAATTAGTGCTGTTCACAGTTAATATGGGACGTTGAGGTTCATAGTTCATTGGAAAAGCAACTGGAAATTAATTTGTATGCAAGTGTGTCGTGTGTGGATAATGACCCTCTAGCTAGCCTATCACCCATGAATTCACCCAATTTCGTGCCAAACTTATTTAAGTCTTTTAGTTACTTGTTTTTACTTTAAATTCGTCAAAAACACAATCCCCTTTACTTTGTTGTGTCAAATTAGTTAGAATCTGTCCAATTTGTGTTTTTAAGTGTTTTGAGTCAAGTTAAAGTTAGAATTCGTCCAAATCATTCTTTAGTCTCTGTTTTGAGTCAATTTGCTTGTTTTGTGCTGTGTTGAGTCTTTTTAGTTTGTTTTGAGTTCTTTGAGTCTAGTTAAGTGTTTTCAAGCCTAGTTTTATGTTTTTAAGTTTAGATTTGTGTTTTTTAGTCAGTTTAGAGTAGATTAGCAATCCCTTCTAATCTCCAGCCTAGAATGATCCCTCCTTACATCTTTACTACAATTGTCAATAAGAAGGTTTTAATTTGAGTGCTAGTTTATATCACATCAACCGACACCACAAACCATTAATAAAAAAAATGTAATAGTCTGTCTCAGTTTATGGGAAATCCAAAAACACTTCTACGATGCAGATTCTTTCACAACACTTGGCCGCATAAATGCCTTTGATCTCCTCCATATGTTAATATTACAAAAATGACATTGTTATTAGCATAGTAAGATTGGCGTTTACATTGCTTATGCGTTTACATGATTGCATTACTCTCTGGAGTGAAAATTCGAGTACAATCTATTTATCTTACTCTTTTTTTTTTTTTTTTTTTTTTTTTTTTTGGGTCATTTCTATTGCCTTTGGAATATGTTCCTTCTTTGCTGCTATGTCAAACTCTAGCAAAGATAGAAAAATTCGTTAAATCTTATTATTTTTTAGTACAGATCAATTGTGGATGTGAAACTTTGGAGATCCTTAAACATGATTTTGTTATCTTTTTGTAATGGAAAAATATTCTGATAAAACAAAGATTCAAACTAAGGAAAAAATCACAATTCGAATTTTGGTATAAGATTTAGTAGATTGCTCTATGTTAGATTGAACTATAACTGTTGAGTAAATTGTAAAGTTATATAATTTTAGTGGTATCTCTAGAAAGATGAAATGCCACATATAGACATCTATGATTCATATCATGTCTCTTTACACCATATAATTTAATTGCTTCTGGTACGCCTTTTCTTCTAGAAATTTTTATGACGTTGATCTTAAATCGACATTTGTTTACTGTAGGTCAAAGATATGATGGACCTTCACTCTGTACATATGGAATATTTAACACATTCGCTTGACATGTAAGTTCATTGGTCATTGTGTACAATATTCTTACCATTGTTATATATGTGCCCTGTATTTCTAAATTGCCATGCTTTGTGATTACTAGTTGTATCAATAGAAGTATTTGTATTCACTTGTAGTAAATAACGGAGAAAAAAGTTTGCACCAAGTGTGTACTTGCTGTCGGCTACAAGATTTCTGGAAGCAATGGCAAGAAACTACACTGAAGGGTTTAGCTGCTAAATTGGGTTGTCGACTGGGAAGTTGGCCTATGAAATTTGTGGGAAAATGGTTAGGAGATTAGAAGGGTGGAAAGAAATTGTTTTTATCAAGGGTAACCCACTTGAATTGTGTCGGTTGCAAGCAGTACTCCAACACACTACCTATCACTTTTTAAAGTTCTTTCCTGTGCAAAAGATTTGAAGAGTTTAATGAGATGGTAAAAGAGATCAGCTGGTGAGGTGGAAATCTGTTTCTAGTTGCCAAACAAAAAGGGGGGTTTTAGGGATAAGCAATTTGAACAAAAGGAATGTGGCCCTTCTTGGGGAATCATTTGACATTTCAAGGTTTCTCGATATTGTTTTCTTTGATTGTCAATTAACCATGAATCTGACCTTTGCAGATGTTTCCTGTCTGATGAAACACGATCTATAGCTCGCATCATTGAAAGCATTCTGCAGTGTGCTCTTGACTTCAGGTCTTGTCTGACTGGGGGATTGTGGGATGTTGGAACAGCTGAAGCGAATACAATGGGAAGGCTTTCTGGAATAAATATATCCCAGGTGATGATCACATCCTTAAAGTTGAAAATAACAGCGGACATGAACTTAAGGTGATATAAAATTATAAACAATTTCACTTTGGTCGAACTAGCAATGCCATTTAAAGAAATATAACAGCAACTATGACAATCAGGAGAAAGCGCAAGAGGAGTGTTGCTAGATTGGGTATTGCGATACTATATAAACCTCAACCTGTGCTGAAGTTTTGGATCTTCATGTGCTTAAAACGTAATGCATACTATGTTTCCAGGAACACCTAAGTCATCCATGGCAATTGGGTTTGCTTTCATATATGCATTCATGTGTCAGGGCACCCTCGGTTACTTCGGGTGCTTAAGTAGATGGTCGTGCAAATTTGCAATGAGGACATTATAGAGGATTTGTGCAGTTAAATTCTAAAGTACAGTTTTTGTAGAACATTAAAATGAAAACTGGTGGTCCGAAATATCATATTCAAATTACGGATGAGCCTGTCGATAACATGCATGTGTATCTGTTTTGCAGGTGATTGCAACAAAACAAACATTTGACAAGAATATGAAGGAACTGCACCTCTGCTACCTCAAGTCACCTAAACATGGGGAGTTTGGACTCTCATTTTTGGGAATACCTTAACTACAACGAATATTACTCAGACGTCGGTAATGAAATGGCCTTCTCAGTCTAAAGCTCCGTGACATGAATTTGGAACCTTCCGATCATGCGTGAAGCAGCCCCATTGATTACAGTGATCGAGGATTGTAATCTCTCAAAGATTCAGACTAGATGATATCTCCAACTGATGTGTAAAATATTTCAGAATTCGTATAATTCCGGAGGCTTTGAGGTAGCAGATTCAGCAAGGCCGTATAAATTTCTGTAGTTGCAAGTTGCAACCCAGCTTTATGATATGACACTTGACACTGGTTGGCACAGGGCCGCATACTTTCTCTAATATATTTTTAGGCCGTACGATACAATTTTAGGAGGGCAACAGATTGCTAACGCAGTTACTCTGCCTCCTTAAGCCCTTCCGAAGCCAATCAGTGAAGCACGGCATTGACCCAATAGAGGTAGGGTAGGCCCCTCGAACCATCAACCTCACCCCATGTGGAGTGGCTCGTGGACTGAGAAATGGTTCGAGGTTTCGTTTTTGGCCCCAACTACGACAAATGTGACTGCAGATTGAATTGGTGCATAATTGTTGTAAATGTTGAAGCTATGATTGAATTATTTTTTGTTTTTTAACTTTGTGGAAATGGAAAATGATTGAAGAAGAAATCTCTAGTTCATTGATGGTATAAAAATAGTCCTTACAATATGTAATACTATCCTAATTCCCACCCACCATTGTGATTGTGGATATGATGCAAGCTATGTAATCTCTTTCTACATTCAATTTAAATTTTAATACGGATTGTTTTTTCATCGTATTGCATAATTACTATTAAGTATAAAATAAAATTACAATAAAACTAAAATTTATCAATAAATTCACATCCAATGATCAAACCTTATTAAACCCTACTATTAATAATCTTTATTCTACGTTCTGGCTAAAATTCTAAGAGTTCTCATAGAGTACAAGCTCATTGGACCCACGGATGGTGCTTTTGAGCACCAACACTACGAAGAAATAATTTTTGTAAGAACTTACTTTCCGCTTAGGTAATCAACATGTATACGAGCCATTGATTTAATCTTGTGCCTCTTCCACCTTTAATGATCAGATCAAAAGACCTAAATACTCCTTCTTTTAAGGTGGCCCCACTTGTGCCTTGGACACTACTAAATCTCCAAAATCTTGACAATATTCGCAAATCTGCAAAAAATCATCATTTTGCGTTGTCTGTATTAAAATAGCAATAACGTCTCCTAAAAAAATCGAAACATGAACCATACAATTCTCCATTAACTAGACATCCAGATTTTCCAAGCATATAAGGTTCAATATTTGGTTCGTCTCAAAGAATTAGAGTTTAATATTCGAAATTCACTAATATGCACAACAAATCTTTGATTTTGGGATGTCTGCACTAAAATAGTAATAACATCTCCTAGAAAAATTAGAATTACGAACTGTAAAATTCTCTATAAACTAGGCATCCAAATCTTTTCATGCATATAAGGTTGAATATTTGGTATTCAAACTTCACTGATCTGCACATCAAATTTTTTATTTTGATATGTCTGTACTAAAATAGCAATAACGTCTTCTAGCGAAATTGGAATCACAAACCGTAAAATTCTCCATAAACTAGAGGTCCAGATATTTCCAAGAATATAAGGCTCAATATTTGGTTTGTCTCGGGAATTACAGTTTAATATTCAAACTTCAATGATCTGCGCAGCAAACCTTTGATTTTGAGATTTTATTTTCTAAACCGTTTTTGTCATAAATGGTCTCTGAAATTGGCCCATCCCATCAAAATAATCCCTGAAATTGAAAATCAATCAATTTAGTATCAGAAAATGGATGTCGCAAATCAATGTGGTCCTTTCGTCAGAATTTTGTCAAAATTTTTATTATGTGCTGATGTGACACTTAATTGGGTCTCACGAGTCTAACTAAATATTGTCATGTCGATTAAAATATTTAAATAATAAAAAACAATTTTTATTTTTGTTTAAATAAACCTTAGAAATAAAAAATAAAATAGAAGAAGAAGATATATGCCATTGGCATTGGACTCTGAACTTGAAGCTTCACTCTGAATTACTTGATTTTCTGAATCAGATTCTTCAATTTTCAAAATCTACTTTTAATGGCATTATTGTCCAGTGGACACTCACACTCTTCTCTTTGTTTGTTTCCCAATCCCAGTTTGTACTCATTGAAGATTACATCTCTTGAGAGAATTACTTTCTTGGTTCTCAAGTTATACAGCCTGTATCTCTATTCATAATAATTCATATCCAATAAATATGCACTTGTTGCTTGTTTCATCTATCTTGTGTCTGAGATGAGCAGGTCCTTGAGCATAACACACTGAATCAAAGATTCCCGTGTGCTTAATTCATGGCTTTCTTCCAATTTAGGCCTCAAACGGAGTGATCTTGTCTAGTGACTTAGTAAGGCACTTGTTCAGCAAATGTAGTGCAGTATTAACTACTTCTCCCCATAGATTGTGAGGCATATTCTTCTCATGTAGCATACACTTTATCATCTCCACAATTGTCCTATTCTCTACAACACCATTTCGCTGAGGTGAATAGGCAATTGTCAACTTCCGTTTTAGAGCAACATCTTCACAAAAATATTTTGAAGTCCGGTCACCTCTATTTGCCCTCCACTTGCAAATAGAGGTGACCGGACTTCAAAACATTTATTGATGACTGTACTAGAATGTTGGGAAGTATCTATTTTCTGCATGGTTGGGATTTGCATAGGCCCTCCACGCTTGGTTTCTTGAAAATGCATCTCTGTTGATGCTTGGCAGTAACACACCTTTCTCTAGCAAATCAGGTAAACCATGCACCATTTCTTGCTCAAACTTGTATAATTTTTATAGAGCTTAGGTGCTTGGGGAGCAAGTACCACTCCCTCGATTCTCGTTCACTTTCCCAAAGTGGAGGTTGTTTCTCTTCTAATCCCGATCTATTCCACTTTCGGGCTCTGTGTTCATGAATCAAATCCCTCTTTCCTCGTTTCATCTCTCTGCGCTATCAACGACAACCAAAATAGTACACGTGTATTAATTGCACATTCTTTCCATGCTTTACATGCAGTGTGAAAGGGCTGAGTGTCCTAATCTCTCAACAACCTTCAATATCTCAATGATGAGGTGAAACATCAATTGGTCAATTTAGATGGCGTCACTGAATTATCTAATATTATTTAGAAATTAGATTTCCTCGCCCCCTTCAAACAAGGTCTGTCTAATATTTTCTTTATCTCTCTGCAACTATCTCAATTCCTTCAAATAAATATTTTCTTTAGTTTATGTTCCTCTAATTTAATAATAGATAATAATTGTTCAAAATATTTTACTAATAAAATAATTATTTAAAAATTTGAAACATGAAATGGGAGACTAGAAGAAGGAATTGGGCTTGGAGAGTTGGGATTGGGTTGTCGTGAATTTAGATATGGAGCATGAGGATGAAATTTTGGAATGCTATATGTGGCTTGGTCGCGAAACTTTTCAGTACTCTAATATTTTTTGTTCTCAAATATTAAAAAGGAGTTTAGATATGTATTAGAGGTGATTTTAGGATAGCGGGTGAATAAAAGCATTTAATTTTTTTAATTTTTTACATTGGGTTGGATTACAATGTGTGTGTGGAAACAAGACATTGAGATTGGTCTGGCAGCACTAAAACATTATTGGTTGGGGTAATGTGTGTGCCTCTTTACATTTGATTAAAATTCACCATCCATTAAATTATAGTCATCTAAAGTGAACTGTCATTTTCCCTCACTCTTTATTCATCTTTAAGCGACATGATTTCATTGTACAAATATCATAACCGTTCATGCTTTTTATTATCATTCAGAGTTCATTTCAGAAAAATTGTTTAATTTAGAGACCATATAGAGTCACCCATATGTGTCAAACAAAGCACTAGTTATAATAATGGTAACATGTTTGTGATGAACTGTACACTCTTTAGGGTTTAGGAAAAATTGTTCAATTTATAGACCATATAGAGTCACCTAAACCCTAAACTCTTTCAATATATGGAAGACTAAATGGTTTCCAAATCGAATGAAAATTAAATGACCTTTAAATGGTGGCCAAAAGAACAAATGGTTGTGATATGTGTTGGAACCAAATTCACGCACATTTGCAGTCAGAGGTGAGATCTAATCTGACTAGCCCATGATCTCAGATGAGGCGAGAAGGAATTGATTGAGGGGTGTGGTTGAATCCGAATAGGACTGCCTATAAAGAAGAACAAAGTAAATCATTCTCGATGAATAACTTATGACAAGGCATCGACAGATGAGTTCTCTATGCACGTGTGTACGTGCAAACGATGATGTAAGGGCCTCTGCTAGGCATCAAGTGAAGATGTGTGTTGTAGAGAATATCAGACTTAGAGAGAAGTAGATGTCCCCTTGATAAACACCCATGCTAGTGTTTTTATAGGGATCTTGAGAGTCCTTGTAAGGAGAGTAATCTTCATTAAATCGGGAGACTATTTAGGAGGAAATCTTTAAATCGGGAGACTATTTAGGAGGAAATCTAGGAAAAGATACCCAATCTTTCAAGAATCATGATTATGTGCCCTAATCCCCCAAGATATCCTAATTTGACCTTAATTAGGGTTTCCTTACTTGAGGAACAAGTAATACCTTCAATAGGCCTAAGTCTAGCTTACCGGACTACGCTCCATGGGCCTTGTGCATTTCGGTCCTTCTCACCATGTGCCATGAGCCCAAAAAATCATGGTCCTACAATATGTATTCAATTAAATGATATCATATAAGGGGCCTTTTAAAATTATATTTAAAAAAAAAAGATTGTTATTATTATTAGGGGGAAGCAGAATTCAAAACTATTACAATAATTTAGGAGAATGAGGAGTTTTGAACTTGAGACGCATGGGTAAAAAAATCAACACCGTATCTACTAGGATATAGTCTAAATTATTTCTTTAAGACTTTAAGAGTCATAGAGAGCATTTTTGCTTACCACAATAACTATGGTATATGCTCACTATACACCAGTTCATCTGTCACATGTTATTTCACTTAACCTTGGTTAACTTTCATATTAAATGTTCCTTTTTCAATTTTGAAAAAAAAATTAACTAAGGTTAAACAAAAGGACACGTAGCAGTAGCAGATAATTAAGTGTATGGTGAACATACTTCATAGCTTATAGTAGTGAACAAACATGATCCGAGAGTTATATCTATTTTGTCTTTTATCATTACTTAGAGATTTAATACATAAAGAAGGAACATTGTGATACAGATGCCCAGATTTTAAAATTTGAGATTAAACATTCATGCCTTCTAGATTTTTTATTAGAACAATACTTGGTTACTCAAAGATGAGTAGGAACTCCTACTTAAAATTCCTCAAAATTGTTCGTTGTCAATTTATAGAACTTCGTGTTTATAATTAGAACCGTTCATATTATAAATCACCCTATAAAGATCACCTCTATCGTTTAGTCATCGAACTATTTAAAAACAAATAAACTGTATTGGTAAAAGCATTACGAACCGTCTATGTATTTGCTACAATAAATTACCTAAACGACCTCAGTTTTAATTTATATTTTGCAGAGATGATATTTACAGTGTGATTCATAATATGAACGGTTCTAATCACAAGTACAAAACTCTGTTTTTAAAATACTAAGGATTTTGAGTAGGAGTTCCT